GGAGGCTGAGGCAGAAGGATTGCTTGAGCCCAGAAGTTTGAGGTTGCTATGAGCTAGGCTGACATCACGGCACTCTAGCCCAGGCAATAGAGTGAGACTCCGTCTCCAAAAAAAAAAAACACAACAAAACAATTCCGTGTGTACCATCCCAAATGAAGGTTCTGATCCTTCATTTGAGAAGTTGGATGCTGCTGGGAGAATGTGTAATAACTAACAAAACAGTAATTCTAAACCCTGGCTATCATTTCAGGGTGCAGGAATTTGACTGAGTGACAGTGTGCTATCCCAACATTTTAGGGAATGGCTGTAATTTCCTCATCCCTGTGCTGTAAGCCTTTGGGTTAAGTAAGTACACATCTGCTTGGTAGCAACTGTGTGCAATGGAAAAGTAGAAATGCGTGGCAACGATGCGAGTCCTACACTCCCCCACCATTCTGTAATCATGTTACAACTAAAGGAACCTAAGAGGTTCTAAAAGTAAACTTCAGCTTGACATTAAAGTTTAATTAAGACTTGTAGAAGAGCTGCCTAGAAATAGACATTTATAAAATATTCTGGCTCATAACCAAAGCATTAGTCACTGAACACCTTTGGGAAAGAAGTTGGCACTTAGACAAGCAACAGAAGGTGAAAGCACTGCATAAACAGCGAGGTTCCAAGACAACAGCAAATTAAAGGGAAACACAATGTTCACATTTCAGCAGCTAGACTCCTGGCTTATTTTCCATTTTTAAGCTATTTTGCTACATTACCATAATTACAATTCTACTCTTTTTTAAAAAATATACATCTTATTGTATCTTGATTCATTAACAAGGTACCATTGGAAAGATACGCACCAGCTTCCTATGTGAGACATAATAAAGGACCAGGTGCACATCTGGAAGTGCGACAAGACTGAACCAGAGCTTTCCCCTGGACCCACAGTTCATTTTCATTAAAACATGCATAATGCAGACTTGAAATTTACAAAGCAGCCTAGAATCCATGTAACTTAAACAAATCAATGTACTATGTACATATAGAATCATAACTTAATAAGTGAAAGAGGAAAACTAGAAAAATGATGTATTATAACACCAGGCTCTGTGTTTTTTCTGAGTGAATGATATAGTTTTATTTTGCAAGAAATGCTCTC